TTCTATTCCTATGGTTCCTCCGCCGATCACCAACAGCTAACAGCCACAATAAACTCATGCAGCCTGCTATCGCTCTTTTTTTTTTTTTTAATATTTTGCTCTTTGATGATGGAAGAGGTATGTTATACGTGCAACACTTCGTGAACAACCAACTCTAATTGGGGATGTCTTCTTCCTTTTATAGTTATCTAATTATGAGAACCATGATCTTTAAGCGAGAATTGTGAGCTTAATTATCTTCCAAAATTAGATTTATGACTATTTGAGTTTCTAAAGAAAAATGGATGGTAGCGCGAATCAACCATTCTTTTATTAAGTTTCCACGTCCTCAGAACAAGTCAAAGCCACTTAGGAGAGATATCTATCTCCATCTATGGGGCCAAATATTTTCTTATATTTATGAACAAAAGTATTTGTTATTATAAATAGGGATCTCAAGTTTGTACAAAACTCGTGATATTTTATTTTGAATAAAATGTTAGTAGAATGTGCAATTCTTCTACTTCTAAAATAAACGCTTAATCAAGCAACAAATCTGAATAGTTTTGAGAAAAATTATCCCTTTGTACAAGATTGATGCTTGATTTTACTGATTCGAGGCTTCTTCTCTTTTATTTTTATTCAATACTCAAAATTTTGATATTTGATTGATCATTAATTGAGTTTATACATTTATGATAAAATACAAGTTCACTAAGAGCGTGGTTTAAATAATTGCATGATTTTCGTAATTATAAAGTGTTTATGTGCTATTTCTAATAAATGTCCGTTAAATTTTAATATAGAATTAGCTTCTTCATGTTTTCATTTTTCATTAAAAGGAAATAAGTAATATTAAAGATTATTAGTTTCTGGCCTATGAATAATGTAAGCTTGTTGCATTAATTTTGTGCAACACATAATAGCTATTCATTGGAAACCCTAAACCCTAAAATATCCTAATCAGAAGTTCTCTTTCATCAACTGAGGAGATAATTAACCATGACAGCTTGCAGCCATGAAAGCCTTGAAACAAAATTATAAAGTCCTTTAGGGTGCACTGTATAAAAAATGCTTTATCTGCACTCAGTGTACATTCTGAAAAACCATCTCAGATTACAGTCTTCATAAGGAGGGAGATGAATGTTGTTATGGAAGACTAGCATTAAAACCATGCCAAAACAAGAAGATGAATTCTAATCAACAATGAACAACGGAGATAAGCTTGAAAAGAAGAGAAAATTTAAGCACATAAAATGAGCATAAAATTCTGCCATGATAATGATAAAACAAAATTAAAAGATGCCTAAGTTACATCGGTCCAGGCAACATGGATCAATATCATTAAATAATGAGAAAATGATATAGCTATAACTATTAGAATAAAAAAAATTAACAACAAAACTGGGTAGAAGAAAAAAGGACACTAGTGATAAGCAAATATGAAAAATTAACAACAAAACTGGGTAGAAGAAAAAAGGACACTAGTGATAAGCAAATATGCTATTAATAAGATAACAAAAATAAGTAGGGGAAAGAAAAAAAAGATAATAAGTTGGTAAAAAAAATTCGAAAAAACATAAACATTACAAGCCTCTAGGCAAATATACGATCAGGAAGGGGTTTGATATACAAAGGCTACCCCAACATTTTAGAGTCATTATTTCCATGTTATCAAATGAGATTTAGATAAATTAAAATAACTACTTGATGTAGCTTTAAAAATTTTTCAGTAAGAAAAGACTTGAATGTCGATCATTAATAGTTAAGAGGGGATGTTGACAAGATGTTGCTTAACTGCGTAGTTTCAAAAATTTAGTCAATGCAGGGAAACATTAGCGAAACCGAACCATAAGCCTAATGAATGGACATCCACGAGTTTGGGATAGCAAAATGAATGATTAAAATAAGCTATCCTAAAGTATTGTCTTTAAAATGGATGTTTTACTAGGTTAAGCACAGTGTACAAAAACCAGCTTAAAAGTAAACCTTGGGCAAGCTTCCACACCCTATAAAGTGCTTTGCACTGTTGTCTCTCCAGCAAAAAGTAGCTAATTGTTGTGAAAAATGGTATATAGAACAAGTCTGCCTCTTCTTGCTGATGAACCCTGATAACATTTTTCAAAAGCCTCTCTGATTGTGGCGCAATCAAATCTGCCCATAACCAATAATCAATGGAATGCTGCAAAATTATCAATAAGTAAAGAGAAATTATTTTATATCCAGAAAGCATTAGAATGTAATAGATCTACAAGATGTTGGATAATAAAGCGTTAAAACTATTTGCCTAATCAACAAGCAAAAGCTTCTACAAAGAAATAAAACAATAACGAAAAAACAATGACAAGATAATAAACCAATAGAATAATGGTGCAAATTCTAACACTATGATATAGCATGCTTTTGAGGGTCCATTTGGGGTGGCTACAACAATTTTTAAAAGTAGTTGTAGAGCTCTTGTAAAACATATTTTTTTTAAAGCTGTTATGATTATCATAATTTTATTCCTTTTGAAAAGGTGGAACAACAACCTCCTGATAACAACCACACTAGCATTTCTAGATGTAAAGAGAGCATTCTCACCATAAAAATTTCTGAAAAAGCAACAAAAAAGCAGTAGACAAACATTTGGCAAAAATTTGAAAGAACAAAGCAGTGAAAAATTTGCACCAAACAAATCCTAAATTTCTTAAAGGAATGTGGACAAAACTTCTAAAATTTGAAGAAAAATGTAATATACTCCATTTTCAGTAATTCATTTTATTGCTAAATATCTGGAACTCCAATCCGAGATCTTTATTCAAAAAACATAACATTTTATCTTATTAGGAACGTCAACAAAACATCCAAAATATATAGTAAAATGGAAAATACTCTATCTTCAGTCACCCATATTGTAGCTAAATGTTTGTTTCGAAGTCAAATCTGAGGTCACTATTCAAGAAATTTAACCTTGGTAGGTACAATTTACTACTTTTGAGTGATTGTATGGCCGGTATTACCAGTTCTTTCTTCCAAATGCAATCTATTTGATTAGAATTATCTTAATTAAAAAAGCACAAGATTAAAAATTATCAAAAGTGATCCAAGTCTTTCTTTTACTTAATGGGTATTTTTTTAATTGATGTAATCTAGACAAAACCTGCTTTGGGATGCTATTTAGATTATCTTGATCTAATATATTTAGACTAACCCAATCTAGAAAATAGGAGTAAATCAAACACCTTTTTTTCCATATTTGATAACAGTACTATCAATATAGCATTCAGTGAACGCCCCTTCAGTCTCTTCCCTTCCATTAATGGACTGTAGATTTTTTAAGTATGGCGTACATCTATGCATGCAATTAGCACTACAGAAGCAGTCTATTTCATCAAGCATTTTCTTAAAGTAAAAAATGATAATAGTACCAGCAAATTGAAATGAGAGTGCTTAACTGAGATGATCAATTAGGATCCTAGTCTTTTTTTATTGTATTTCTTATCCATAATGTGTCACGACCCGGCTTGATAGTTTAGGATTAACCAAGTCAGAAATTGCGATCGGATGGTATTAACAATTAATTTACTTTTTACATATTTTCAAAACTTCCAATATACATAAAAGAGCCACAATAAAACCATAAAGTACACTACACATAAATCAAAATATCCAGAAATAATTACATAGTCTGTAGACAACATCTCAAACCGGCATATAACAATATATCACTACTCGAAGAAAATAATACAAAGAAACTACAATCATAATACATATAAGAAGAAATTTCTCCTTGTTGACATCTCCCTTGCACTCCTTGCTCCATGTTGTTCTGCTGCCAGACCAATCCCTTGCTGCTGCTGCTTTTGCTACCATGCATGGCAACCTGTTGCCCCGAACTTCCTCCTACAGCCAGTCTGTTGGCCAGCAAGTCATTCTATAGCCAACCCACTCTCCCGCTGCCCCCTCCCCCCAATTCGCTCCCTCCAGGCTCACTTTTACCCATTACTTCCCCTCTCACCTGTTGCCTTCATCCTTTTACAGTCGGCCAACCTCCTTTTCCCTTGTTACAATCGCACCCAGCTCTCCTAACTCCTTAACTGCGACATCACCACCCCGCCTACACCCTAGTTTTAGTGTTGTGTCGTTCTTTTTCCAGTTTTGAAAGATTCTTGTTGTAAAAATTGAATTTTAGCAATAATATATTTCAGTTTCTATTGTAGTTTGGGTTAACTCCGGTATCACTAACACTCTGTGTCATGAAGCATTGCAGGTCTCACCACCATTTTATAAAATTTTATTGTAAGTCTAAGCAGTACTTCTTTATCACCATCACTTTGAACAATAGACCCAAGATATAAAAAATGTTCCCGCCTTTTAATGATTTGATCACTCATTATTACAACTCTGTCACTAGATCTACTACTACTAAAATTATATTCTATAGATTCAGTTTTAGATCTACTCAAATGAAGGTTTTTAGACTCTAAAGTAGATCTCCATAATTCAAAATTTTTTCTGAACTCTTTCTATAGACTTATCCACAATAAGGATATCATCAATAAAAAACAAACACCAAGGTAAATCCTCCTTTTCTACATCCTCCTTTTCAAGTCCAGTAAGAGCATCTATAACTAAAGCAAAAAGATATAGGCTTAAAGCTGATCTCTAATGTAATCCAACTAAAATATAAAAATACTTGTTCAATCATCCTTTTGCTCGAACAGAAGTAACAACTGTAGTATACATATCTTTAAAAACTTAAATATAAGTAATATCAGCACATTTCTTTTCTAGAACTCTCCAAAAAACTTCTCTTAAAATCTTATCATAAGCTTTTTCTAAATAAATTATATATGGATCCCCCTTACTCTCTTTGTACTTCTCTATCAAACCTATCAATAAATATATCGATTCCATGGTAGACTTGCTTGGCATAAATCCAAATTGATTATGAGAAATCTTTGTATCACATCTTAAACTATGTTAAATTAATCTCTCTCATAATTTTAATGTATAACACATTAACTTAATTCTTTTATAGTTTGTATATTCTTGTGCATCTTCTTTACTTAAAAATGGGGGACCAAAATACTCTTCCTCCCCCATGCATCTTTTTAGTTTTTAAAATAATATTAAAAAATTTAGTAAGCCAAGAAATTCCGAAATCTTTTAAATATTTCCACACTTCTATTGGGAAACAATCAGATCCCACTGATTTTCCACCTTGATTTTCTTTAAAGCCTCATCAACTTCATTTTTACTAATGTGACAGTACAAATAAAAAGTTTTATTATTATTAATGATGTCAAGAAAGTCGATTGTATTTTCAAAAACTTCATTAAAATATTTATCAAAATATCTCACCCACTTATGTTGAATATCTTCATCCAAGAAAAGCAATTTTATGATTTTAATCTTTAATACACTTGAATTAACTCTTTACTTTTATTTTTGTTTGACTAGTTTATATAAATATCTTTCACTCTCTTTAGTATCTAATCCAACATAAAGATCACTAAAAATATAATTTTTAGCACTACAAATAGTTCTCTTAGACTCTCAAGGTATCACCTAATTCTCTAAATTTTTACATTTAAACAAATTTTTATAACAAAATTTTTTATATTTTATCTTTTCTTATATATTATTATTCCATCGGCAACTATTTTTATCTATGAAAATTTTTTATTTTGATTCTTCAAGAACAACTTTTGTCAGTTGTTTAATAGTGTTTATTACTTTCACACATATAATTATTTTCTTCATAAGCAACCCAAATTTAAAATCTTAAAGTTTGCTCATAAAAATATTTTTATTTGTGTCTTTTAAATGTCTTCATCTAATTTTATGGTAATGTTTCATTGTGTTGTTTATCTTCCAACTGTTCATCTTAAAATCAAAAACTAATAATCAATATTGAAGATCTAAATTTTTATTTATAATAACCTTAAAATATTTAAATTCTCGACGATCCATTTTTCTCATAAAAAAATAATCAATTTTTGTTTTATGAGATTCATTCTTACAAGTAATTATGCTCATCTATTTTCTTAAATAAAGTATTAGTAATAACAAAATCAAAAGCTAAAACAAATTCCAATATAATTTGACCTTTTGACCTGTAATGAGTCAATGAGAATAATTTATGACGCTAAAACTCATAAATATTTTTAAAATCTTAATAGATTAGATATTAAAGAGAGTGAAAGATATATGATAAACTAGCTAAACAAAGAGAAAAGAAAAGTGAAGATTTAAATCAAGTAAAGTGTATTAAAGAAGAAAATCAAATAGTACTTTTTTTAGAAAAAGATATTCAAAATATGTGGGTGAGTTGTTTTGATAAACTTTTTAATGAAGTTTCTGAAAATACGATCGACCTTAATGATCTTAATATAGTGAATAATGATAAAACGTTTCATTTTTACCATCGCATTAGTAAAAAAAAAAGTCGAGTAGCTTTAAAGAAAACTAAGGATGGAATGTCTGTAAGACCTGATGATATCCCAATTGAAGTGTGGAAATATTTAGGAGATTTGAGAGTTTCTTGGCTTACTAAACTCTTTAATATTATTTTAAAAACTAAAAAGATACCTGAGGAGTGGAGGAAGAGTATTTTGGTCCCCATTTTTAAGAATAAAAAGGATGCACATGAGTGTGCAAATTATAGAAGAATTAAGTTGATGTGTCATTCTTTAAAGTTATGGGAGAGGACAATTGAACATAGGTTAAGACGCATTACATAGATTTCTCATAATCAATTTGGATTTGTCGGGAAGGTCTACTATGGAAGCTATACATTTATTGAGAGGTTTGATAGAGAAGTTCAGAGATAATAAGGAGAATCTACATTTGATTTTTATTGATTTAGAAAAAGCTTACGATAAAGTTCCAAGATATATCCTTTGGAGAGTTCTTGAGAAGAAAGGTGTTGATATGACTTATATTCAAGTCATTATAGAAATGTATACTAGAGCTAAAGTCATTATAGATATGTATACTAGAGCTGTTACTTGTGTTCAAACTGAAGGAAGATTGACCAAATATTTTCCTATTTCTGTTGGATTACATCAGGGATCGGCTTTAAGCCCATATCTTTTTTCTGTAGTTATGGATGGTTACTAGGCATCTACAGGAGGATGTACCTTGGTGTATGTTTTTTGTTGATGATATCCTTCTTGTGGATAAAACAAGAGAAAAAGTCCAGAAAAAGCTTGAATTATGGAGGTCTACATTCGAGTCTAAAGACCTTCATTTAAGTAGAATTAAAATTGAATACATGTAATGTAATTTTATTAGTAGTAGCTCTAGTGACAGAAGTGTGAATTTGTGTGATCAAATTATTAAAAGGTGTGAACAATTTAGATATCTTGTGTCCGTTGTTCAAAGCAATGGTGATATAGATGGGGATGTTAATAGTAGAATTCAAGTTGGTTGGTTGAAGTGGAGGAATGCATCAGGCCTTGGGCCTTTTTTGTGATAGAAATGTACTGCTTAGACTGAAAGGAAAATTTTATAAGATAGTGGTGATACTTGCAATGCTCTATGGCGCTGAATATTGACCTTTAAAAGAGAAGCATAATAATAAGTTAAGTGTAGCCGAGATGAGAATGATTAGGTGGATGAGTGGTTTCACACTTAGAGACAAAATGCGAAATGAATATATCCGTGATAGGGTTGGTGTAGCTCCTGTGACGGACAAAATTAGAGAAAGTCGTCTTAGATGGTTTGGTCGCATTAAACGTCGACCATATGATGATCCGATCAGGAGAGTAGATGTTGTAGATTCGAATTGTGTTAAGAAAGGCAGAGGTAGACCTAGGAAGACTTGGGATTATTGTATATAAAAATGATCTTAATTTATTAGAACTAAATGAAAATAAGACACTAAATAGGATGTAATGGAGAAAATGGATTCATGTAGCCGACCCCACATAGTGGGATTAAGGCTTTGTTGTTGTTGTTGTATACCAATCTACTAACATGTCTATTTAAATTTTCTCCAATAAAATTTATTTCTTTAAGAGGTATCATTTGTATTAATTTTTCTAGTGTAGTTCATACCAAAATTTTTCTTTTGAATATATATTTAAACCTACTTGAGTAGTATAAACTCTTACAACATTAAGAATCTTAATATCAATAATAATCATTAGGGTTGTAATTCTATCTTCAAGTCTATTAATTTTTATAATATTATCTTTCAAACTCTTATTTATAAGAGTTATATACACCATTTTTAGTACGACTCATGTCAAAATATTTAAGTTTAAAATCTAAGCTATCAATCTCATTATTTTTCTCGAACTCATTTAATTTCTTGAATGCATAAGATATTTTTCTTCCAATAAACCATAATATCTACTAATTTCACTAGTTTACCCTGAAGAGTAATGATATTCCAAGATCATATCATAATATTAGTATTATGGACTAACTTTTTTACCCACCTTTGTCCATAATATAAGAACATTTGCTTATTTAACACTACATTTGGATGACGATATAACGACCTTTGTACACTTTTTATTGTATTCATGTTATACAACATTTATACATTGATTTAAAGGATTCGTGTCATGATTTTTTTGACAAAAAATTTACGTTGGTTGTCGCCTCAACAACATAAAAAAAGTGGAAAAGAAAAAAGAAGAGATAGTGCCTAAATAAAATTAGGATTGTTTTTTTAATTTAAATCTAAATTGCTAATATGATTAAGCATGGCACTATCCAGGAGTAGAAGAAAACAAATCATCCTTATCAAGAATAAAAATATTGGTGTTATCTAAATAGCAATTCATGAAGCCCCTAAAGTCTTATGCATCTATGCATTCAATTAGTTCAAGCAATAAATCATAGCCCTATTAAACATGGCATACATCTACGAAAGCAATTAGCATTAGAAATTTATCTTCAATTAGTAAGTAGATACCTAAGCATAAAAGTTAAGCTTTTCTTCTTTTATTGCGAACAATTAGATTTCTATACGTCAATGAAATCAGCACGACAAAGATAAGAGGTGCTAAAGTCTTATAAAGTGCAAGTCTAAGAACTGTAAATATCGGACTTTTAGGGACCATAATTGTTGATAAGTAATGATACCTCCACAAGATCAAAAGTGAAATCATAAAAGCAGGAAATAAGAAACGTATGCGTCCCTATGCTAATAAAGCTTCCCAATTGGAAGCTCCTATTATAAATCTAAAGGACTCGTTGGTATTTGATCCAAGTAAAGCCCTAGAACCAGCAATGCCATTAAGATATGGAATATAATTCCGATCTCCAGCTCAAAAAAGTACAAAAGAGCAATAACAGAGACAAAGGAAGAAAAAAGGATTTTAATTCACCGACCTGCTCGATTAAGCGATGAACAGGACTCCCATTCGAAGTTGAATTAGAGGTATCCTTGTACGTGTCCCGAAAAAGCCGCAACAGATTGTACGTAAACTTCGCCGGCATCTCGTATACATAAACCCTAACTACAGACAACCCCGCCCACGCATCTGTCTCTCTCCTCCAGATCGCGTCGTCGAGCACCCTCCCCGCTGCCTCACCACCGTCGCTAGCGGCCGTATCCGGGTGTGAAGACGCCGGGGAGGATCC